TAAAGTGACCCAATACTATCTATCCAATCAAATGTTCAACATATCTGTTATTCATACATGGGTCAAAGACAAGTATTTAATCAATCTCAGACTTAACTCGGACTGTTTCCTCCATTTAAGTATCTCTTATTATCTCTACCCAATAAAAATTTCACAAATGCAGACAAGTAAGTTAACTAAAGAAGCTAGATTGGAGTTGGCACTTTAAACACTTTGGAATATTCTTCGCTCCCACAAAGTTATATATTCTCTCCCATTTTTCTTAAGTGCATGGCCCTTTCATTCTACTGAAAATTGTTTTCATATTTTCAGAAGAAATGACTGTAGAGAACAATTAGCTACTATAAGAAAGAGAGTGTTGCACACACAGTGAGATCCAGATTCAAAACAGCGACACACAAGGAATGGTGGGACTAGATTGCACAACCCTGTCCAAAAGGCAGGGGCTACTCAACTCAGATAACGGGTGTCATATGTCACCAGAGTTTGCCCAGTGTTTTCTCATGATTACATTTATTTATTTATTTATTTATTTATTTATTTATTTATTTATTTATTTATATTTTACTTTAACATTTACTGGTACATATTTGTGCAGTACAGTGTGTTGTTTCAATACATGCATATACTGCACGACGATTCACTTAAGAGTAGATAGCACAGTTTTATACCTCTGAGTCCCCCACTTCTCCTCCCCCCTCCCCCATAACCATCATTCTACTCTTGACTTCTGTGAGAACCATTTTTTTTTAGATTCCACATATGAGCGAGATCACGTGGTATTTGTCTTTCTGTGCCTGACTTACTTCACTTAACGTGATGATTCCAGTTCCATTCATGTTGCTACAAATGATATCATTTCTTTTTATAGCTGAATAGTATTCCATTATGTATACATACCATAGTATTTTATCCATTCATCTGTTGATGGGCATTTAGATTGATTCTGTCTCTTGGTTATTGTGAATAGTGCTGTGATGAATATGGGAGTGCAGGTGTCTTTTTGATATATTGACTTCATTTCTTTTGGGTATATACCTAGTAGTGGGATAGCTGGGTTGTATGGTAGTTATATTTTTAGTTCTCTGAGGAACCTCTGTGCTGTTTTCCACAATGGCTGTACCAATTTACATTCCCACCAACAATGTGGGAGAGTTCCTTTTTCTCCACATCCTTACCAGCATTTGTCATTCTGTCTTTTTGATAATAGCCATTCTAACTGGTGTGAGATGATGTCTCATTGTGGTTTTAATTTGCATTTCTCTGATAATTAGTGATGTTGAACATTTTTTCATTGTCTGTTTGTCATTTGCATGCCTTCATTTGAGAAATGTCTGCTCCCCACCCCCCATGTCCACATCCGGCCCAGTGATGACCACCCCGCAGGTGCCAGAAACACCTTGGGCCCCTGAGCTGGGGCGGTGGAAGCCTTGGGCCTCAGCCCCGCCCAGCCCCCACATCTGCATGCAGCCCAGCCACACCCACCAGGCTCCTGAGATGGGGCAGGGGTCACGGGGCTGAGCCACGTCCCCCTGATGTCCACATCCAGCCCAGCCACAACCAAGCTGCCGCCTGAAGCCCCCTGGGCTCCTCTGCCAGGATGGTGGGGGCAGGCATGCGGGGGGAGGGAGGGAGGTGCTGCTGAATGCGGGCATGGGGGGCAGACATTTCTCCCCCTTCCTTGTCCTCCCACCCTAATCCCTTCTCCCTTCCTCTCTTCCCCTCCACCCCAACTGCTCCTCAACATCTTAGAATGTAAAAAAAAAAATAATAGTAAACAAATAAATTTAAAAAGTGAAAAAGAAAAGAAAAATGTCTGTTCAGGTCCTTTGCCTATTTTTTAATTGGGCTATTTGGTTTTTTGTTGTTGAGTTGTTTGAGTTCCTTGCATATTCTGGATATTAGCCCCTTGTCTGATGTCTGATATGTAGTTTGCAAACATGTTCTCTTATTCTGTAGATTGTTTCTCCACTCTGTTGGTAGTTTCATGATTACGCTGAGGTTATGCACTTTGACAAGAATGCCACAGAAATGACTTGCATTCTCCATGTATTTTATCAGGAGGTCCGTGATGTCTCCTACTTCTGATGTTAACTTTGATTACTTGTTTAGGGTGGTGTCTTTCATGTTTCTTCACTGTAAAGTTACTATTTTTCCCTTTGTATTTCATACATATCTTACAGAGAAACTCTTTGAAATGTTGCAAATATTCTGTTTCACATCATAATTTCACACATATAATTTTAGCACTCATTGATGATTCTTGCCTGCAAAATTGTTACTGTGGTGTTTGTTAAAAGTCACTTTCTATTTCCATCTTCCCTTCCACACTTCCTCATTGGAATTCTACTGTAAGAAAAAGTTGTACCTTCCCCCCTCTCTTTTTCTTATCAGCACAAACTCATAGATATTTATTTCATTCTATGGGTCATAATCCATCGTTACCATTATTTATACTGTTGCTGAAATTGTCCCAGCTTTGGTCATTAGGAGTTCCTTTAAGTTGGCTCCTATGTCATTTTCATATTCTGCCATCAATTTTTGAGCACTTCCTTACTTTCTGTCACTGCAAAATGTTTGAGGCTTATCTTGTACTCTCCCTGTCTCAGGTATAAAATCAAGCATTTCTCCAGGAGCCCTGATTACTTTTACTGGGGAAATTGTATTTAGAAACCTATATCTGGGCCCTAGGTGTGTTGATTGCTACTCTGTCATTACATCTTTATCATTGCTTCTAGCCTTCTCAGCAGATAGGTCTAGGAAATACACACACACACACCCCTTATTTTTACTTCTATTTATATATGAGTTCATACTGGTACCTAACTCCACAGGGTTCCTTCTAGCCTTTCTCTTTTCTATATTTGCAACAGTGAGAGATCTGGCTCTCACTATCTACAATATATTTACTTATTTGCTAGTTTCTAGTATAGACATGAAGTAGTTTCGGAATTGATAATTATGATCCAGAGTACAATATTCATGTATAATTCTTTTTGTCTTGAGTTTTATAGTATATAATCCAAATATTGTTTTACATAGTTACTTAGATTAGTTCTTTTATTCTCCATCCCCCTGAGAAGTGTTATAGTTATATCCCATTTTGAGTTCCTCCCACATCCTGGTTGACTTTAATAAATCATTTATTTATTTCGGAGTGCTGAAATGTTGTCATGGTTAAAGAGTTAAAACTATACAAGAAAGTTTACTCAGAGAAATGTCATTTCCTCCTCACCCTCTTTAGCCCATTCCCATCTCTCATTCTTACCTGTTCTTACCTATATTCTGTATGTTAACAACCTCATTAGTTTCTGGGTTTTGCTTCCTGTATTTATTTTTGTACAAATGAGCAGACAATGCATGACTTCCCATATCCCCTTCTTTCTTACATGAAATGCTGCATACTGTTGGTACTCTTCTGCACTTTGCTTAAGTGAACTTGACAATATATCCTGTAAATTTTTCCACATCAATTCTTAGACATTTTTCCTTATTCTTTTTATTGAGCTGCATAGTATTCCATCATGTGGATATACCATAGTTTATTCAACCTCTCCCCTATTTATGGGTATTTAGGTTGTTTCCAATATTTTATAATTACAAACAACGCTATAGTAAATAATTGTCTGCATATACATTTAAAATTGTTGGGGAGCATATCCAGGACTAAAATTTTGATCTCCTGTTGCCTGGTCCAATTCTGTTTTATATCAAATGATGTAATATAATTGAGAACACTTTAAAAATTAAAAAATGTTATATAAATATGCAAAACAATACTATGCTATTAGCATTATTTTCTTTCCCTAATCTAATTGTAACTTCAAGACAGACAATTCAATTCAATAAACATTTGTCCTCAGCTACTAAACCACATGGTTAATTTTGAAAAGTTCCCTTATCTGTTTAAATTCCAACATTTTCAATCATGCCTTCATTCATTAAGAATGTTCTGATATTTACTAGTTTTTACTTAAAAATTGAATTTATTATTTGTACAGTTTCTAGTAATAAAAAACCTCACTGTTATATTAAATCATTTTCTCTATTTTATTCCTTTAGAGACAGGAGACAGGAGACCGAAATTACAAACTACTTCCCCAATCTGGATCCTATTCTATTCCATAAGTATGGATGTCAGATAGGGTGGGAGGAGAAAAACAGGATCATATGATGCCAGGAGCACTCTCTGACTGTCTGACAATGTGTTAGTGTAGTTTTGGGCCTCTGCTTCCTCCTGGTGGGAGGCCTTACACCCAAACTCAGCTTCTATTGGGACTGGGTGCTCTCAGGACCCTCATGTTCCCGACCTCCTGCACAATTGGTGTTTTGACAGGTGCAAAGTATGCCACACAGTCTATTCAGGACCTATCCCTGGTCCTGCCCCTAACCTGGGTTCAAGGAATCCCCTACACGGTCCAGTCTAGTTCATCAGAAGATTGTTTAGGGATTTGGAATCCAGGAACTAGAGTATCTGCCTTGTCTTGTCCTTTATTATGACCCACAAAGACCTGTTTCATCCATCACAAGGCTATTGCCAAGACCAACCAAGCCTTAGAAGATCATTTGTTAGGAATCTCCTAAGTTTTGGTGAGATATTAGTCCTGGATCCTGCAATTTCAGCAGATTCAACTGAGCAACTCTACAAAGCAAAAAGAATTTGAGGTTTACCAAGAGATAACTTCTGATATGGCTTTCAGATAGACACCTCACTTATGTAACCAATTGGGTCGCTAATTATATACAATGTAGAGTCTAAGCAATTTGGTAGGGAACTTGCCATCTGGATTGGGAATAAGTTGGAGTTTTGAAACTTGCATCCAAACCTCTTCCTCCATGGTCAGAGGAGTCAAGTAATGTATCACTTCACATTTGAATTCAGTGTTGTAGAAATTATAATGTTGCAGTTAATTATTTTAACTTAAGAAATCATAAGGAAACAAAGTTCATCATAAACACATAGAAAAAGCTTCTAGGCAATATTGTTCTTATGGTCTTACCTCCTCGATCTCGAGCAGCTAAACTTTGGCCCTTTCTTAATGTAATGTCCAGCTGGTACATTCCGGGATCAGGCAAAGGAACATCTGCATTACTGGTTCCAGCAGTATTTATTTTCTGGAAAGCAAGAAATATACAAAATATTAAATTTACTATCTGTTTTATTTTTTCCCATGGGGGAACTACATGTAGCTTAACCCAAATTATAATAATTTATCAATAAAATAAATCATCTTGTGGTTTCACACAGTATCATAATCACCCAGTTCTCTGAAGGTTTTGAAATTCATGAAATTCTTTAGACTCAAAATGAAAACATGGCAGTTACAGAAATGTCCTGTTTTAACTCAGATTAGGGATAAAAAATGCAATATGAAAAACGTTTCCCATAGAAGGCTTCACGTAATTCAACCAAGAAAGATTAACGTGGGAATAGTGTCTGAAGTAAAATACAATCAATGACGAATGAAGAATAGAGGTGTTCAGGGACAGTCGATTTCCACATAGCTGAGAATTAAAATAAAAATGATTTATTCAGGTGACTTTGTTGACTCATTTATCTATGCAAAAGATCTCATACTGATGGATAACATACTTCCATTTTAGTCCCAACATAAAATATGATATACAATTATACAGAAATAAATCCACTCAGCATTTTGACAGCATTTGCAAGAAATAAATTCTCAATGGAGCTAAATTTCTAATTCTGCTTTCAGTGGACTAAAAGTGCACAAGCTATTTCTATATCTAAAAAAATCTTCACAAGACTGCCTCTCTAGAACGTTTTTTAGCAATATACTCTTAATAATCTACTGGCCATTGAATTACAATTGCACTTGCCAAAGAAATAGCTATGTTAAAACAACACAAAAGAAATATACAGTAAAGTTTTACGGGTCTTATAAGAAAATAAGATACAAAGTCTATGTCACTTTCTATACATAGGAATGCTTATTTTCTTCATGTTTGAGGTTATTTTAAATTCTTATAATTATTTTTTCTGATTCAAAAAGAAATGTTCTTTTGTTTGAGAATATGCATGGATAAGGTAAAATAACAGACTATAGTCTGGCTCTTTTATTTTTATAAATGATATGAAACGCAACGATAAAGCAACATCTTTTTAAAAGAACATCTTTATTGAGATAATTTACATACCACAAATAGCAGCATATGGGGGGCGGGTAAGACCAAGATAAAAAGCTTTCCTATTGCAGCAACTATTATTTAGACAAGCAGCAGCACAACTTTGACTGACAACCTGAATTCATCACCTCTCCTCTGGTAACAATAGAGTTCCCTTCTCCTGGTGACATCCTTGTTTCTATAGATGATAACACCATTCCCTGTCACTCAGATTAGAAATCTCTCAGCCATCTTTGACTTCTTCATTCCCCTGCCACCACATCCACATATGCAGATGCGAAATTCCATGCACTCCATTTCTGTATTTCATCTCCCAGTTGTCTTTTTCTTTTAATTCATATTTTTACTAATATGGATCAGGCCCTCAAACAACAGACGAGTAAAGTGTAAAATGATTGTCTAGGTCTTCCCTTACTCGTCCAATTGCTCTACTTCCTTGTGGTTACCAATTTTAACAATTTGGGGTATATCCTTCTACCCTATTGAAAGTCTTATACAAACATATACACATACATATATATTTGTTTTTCTGTGGTTGAATTTTTAGATTTCATTTGTTTTAAACAAAGATAGTATTATATTTTGTCTATTATTGACTAAGAAAAATATCATAAGCACTTTTCTAATCAATACACATAGATATCTCTTTTTTTAAAAAAATTCAAGTTTATTGAGGTATAGTTGACAAACAAAATTGTATTTTATGGTGTACAATGTGATGATTTGATATACATATATTTTGTGAAATGGTGACCACAATCAAATTAACATATCTTTCACCTCACCTAGTTACCCGTTCTTTTGTTTAGTATTATTTTGTATTGAGAACATTTAAGCAAATTTCAAGTATTTAATTCAGTATTGTTAGGTATAAGTCATCATGCTGTACATCAGATCATCTGAACTTATTCATCTTATAGCTGAAAGTTTGTACCTTTGTACTCTTTGATCAATACCTCTTCTTTTCCCCTACCCCCTGCCTTTGTAACCATATTTATTTTGAGGCACATTATTTTCCTCAGTGTGGGAATACCATAATTACTTCAATTATTTTCCTATTGATAAACATTTGCATTGGTTTCAACGTTTGCCATTACAAGGACTGGTGCTATTATTTCTTACAGAATGATTTTTTTCAAGAAAAGTTCAAATAGTTACCACTCCTATCAAAAGTGTACAAGAGTGCCTATTTCCCGTGCCCTAGTCAGCATAGAATGTTACTAAAAATTGTTTTAATTTTTTCAAGTTTGATGGGCAAAGCATGTTATCTTCAATATATATATATATCAATATATATTTTTAGAAAAATGGTAAGGTGTCTTGAAACCAGTGTAATGGATAAGAGAGTGAAAGCTGTTCATTGAATCATACAGAAGATACCAACTTGGAAAGAGAGCAGGACAAGCTAGGTCTTCTGAACAACTTTTCAAAGAACTGTTTGTATGGAGGTCTCATTAATAAGCAAGATTCAGATTCAGCAATTTGTTAAGCTTCAAGTGAGTTCTAAGTTCAAGTGAGTTCATTGTTTCCAAATAAACAAATCCATTAATAAATATTAAGCTTAGATAGGTTTACCACTTTCTAAAAAATGGAATAAAATCTGCAGGAAAGAACTTTTCCACCCCACATCCTCCTCTAGTGTTTTGATAGGTAGGTACCTTGAAGTCAGAAAAATTTGAATGCTCAGACATCTGTATTTTTTGTAGCCTTCAGTACTCTATTCAGTGCTTTTTAAAGTTTAGAATGCATAATTTATAGAGTACTTGGCTTTATATTTTAAAATGTATGTTGCAGTTTATGTGCAAGTTAAGGAATTTCTAGGTTTTTAAAAAAAATTTATTGAATCAAAATTGATTATACATATTTTGGGGGTTCAACATTGAAATATGTTGATCAAATCAATATTACTAGCATATATATTGTTACCAATCATACTTATTCTTTATCTCCCTTGTCCAATCTCACCCCATCTCTCTTTCCTTCCCCCCCACCAGTTACCCTAGATTTCTTCTCTACTTCTGAAAGAATAATGGTTACTCTGTTGATTTGTCACCTAGATGATCTGTCCAATGTTGAGAAGTGTGATCAGGTCCCCCAATATTACCATAGAGCAGATGCTTTTTCTGTCATTCTGGAATGGGCTTTGTGGAGAGAGACATCCTCTTCTTTTCTTTACCTCTGCTGGTGACTCTCCTTTTGTTAATGCATTCCAGTGACTGGCAAACCATCTGCATGGTGGTTGTGATGTCTAGCCACATTTGTGGCAGCCATAATTATTGTGGTGGCTGTGGTGGGCTACCCACATGGTGGTGATGTTTTTGGCATGCTCCTTGGTGCTAGCAGTGTGCCTGGTTGTATGGGGGGGGGGGGTCTGGTCCCCGGATCCATCCCTCAGGTCCCCGGGCAGGCCCCAAGGTGCTGGTATGGTGTGCCTGGTTGTGGGGGGGATCCGGTCCCCAGCTCCATGCTGTAGGTCCCTGGGCAGGCCTTGATGTGCTGGTGTGATGTGCCTGGTTGTGTGAGGGAGGTCCGGTCCCCAGCTGCATACCTCTGGTCCCAGTTGGGCCCTGAGGCACTGGCATGGTGTGCCTGGTTGAGGGGAGGGGATCCCATTCCTGGCTCCATCTGTTGGGTCCTCAGGCAGGCCCCGAGGCACTGGTGTGGTGTGCCTGGATTTGGGAGGGGTCTCCAGTCAGTCCCCAACTCCATGCCTCACATCCCTGGGTGGACCCGAGGTGCTGTCGGTGTGCCTGAGTCAGAAATAATTTTTTTGTCCTTTGCTTACTTCTAAAGTGGGGGAAATTCCTGTTGGGACCAGTACTTGAGCTGTGTGATTGAGCTAAATTGCTGCTTTGCTGCTGTTTCCTTAAGGAAGGCTTTTCGTGTAGCACAGGTTATAATGTTTGACTTTATAGGAACTTCAGGCTCTCCAGAGACTCGGCACCCGGGTTGTGTAGTAACTCTGATCTGGGCCTGAGTCTTTTCATCAAACTGCACCCCATGCAATTCTATATTCCTGACTAGTCTCCTCTGAGTGGGCCCTATGCTGATTGGGGTGCAGATCAGCTGTCCTTGCTGTACCCCAGTGTTCCCCTTGTCGGCCCATCTCTCCCACTACCCATGCTGGAAACACTTCCCATGGGATGGGCCATGCACCAGTCCCTTGTGATGACTCAGCAGCCTCTGAGTGGTTCCATTTTTTCAGTTGTTGTAGCTCCTTGCTCCTATGTGGGTCCACAGGAACCCTCTCAGTGTTCTTACTGGCCTGAGGGCCACCAAGTCCCCCTTCTCCCCTGCTGCCTCCAAGCAACTCCATCCAAAGGGCACAGCTGAGGCTTTTGCTGGCTCCTGCTCTGTGTGGTCAGCAGTTCCAGCCTTAAAGCAGCTGCAGCACGAAACAGTCAGAGCATTTTTTTCTTTCTCTCATCATGGCTTCTCCTGCCTTCATAAACTGCATATGTCTCTCCTCCTCTTCCCCTGAGCCCCAGCAGCCCCAGCTTGGCTGATGTTACATTTTTGTAGTTGTAAATTGGTTGATTTCTGGGAGAAAGTGATGCAGGGGACCGTCTATTCCGCCATCTTGACTGGAACTCTGGAATTTCTAGATTTTAATTATGCCAGATTTTTCACTTCTGTTTTAGAATTTAACACCTGGTTAAGATATAACTTCACAGGACTTATATTCGTTGACTATGTTCATTTCCTCTTCTACAAATTTGTCATTTATATCTTTTGCTTACTTTTCTACTGTATTGTTTATCTTTTTTAAAATAGCATTAAAAACAGCTTATCAAATATATTTCAAATATTTCCTCCCAATATATCTTCCATCTTTGACCTTTGTACATGGTATATGTGGTCACATAGAAACAATTAAGCAGTTAAAGCTGATTTTTTTCCCTTTTATGACTTCTTCATTTCTTATCTTGACTAAAAAAAGTTTTCCCACATAATGAGAATACATAATT